ATTTTAGGAAGTTGAACGATCTGACGGTAGGTGACTCCTTCTCCCTACCCAATATAACAGAAATTCTTGACCAACTCGGCGGTGCCAAATATTTTACTACGCTTGATCTAGCCGTCGGATTACATCAAATCGCCATGGATCCCAGCGATCGCGAAAAAACCGCATTCTCTACACCTTACGGGCATTTCGAATTTAACCGAATGCCATTCGGCTTAAAGGGAGCGCCTCAAACCCTCCAAAGAGCAATGGAGGCCTTACTGGGAGGATTACGGGACATAAAGTGTTTCGTTTACATCGACGACATAGTGATCCATGGACGCTCCCTATAGGAACATCAGGAAAGGCTGACGCAAATTTTTATCAGAATAAGAGATAGCGGGTTAAAATTGCAGCCCTCCAAATGCCAGTTTTTACGTAAGGAAACCATTTATTTGGGTCACGTAATTACCGAAAAGGGTGTCAAACCAGACCCTGCAAAATTAGAAGCAGTTAAAAAATTTCCAGTCCCAAAGAACGTAAAGGATGTACAGTCCTTCTTGGGATTGGCAGGCTATTACCGTAAATTCATAGAACATTTTTCTAATCTTGCAACATCACTAACCCAATTATTAAAGAAGGACACAGAATTCAGATGGACGGACCAGGAGCATGAAGCTTTCGAAATCTTAAAAGAAAAACTAAAAACAGCATCGATTCTACAGTACCCTGATTTTTATAAACCTTTCACGTTGACGGCGGACGCATCTGGTAAAGCGTTAGGCGCGGTATTATCTCAACAGTACGAAGGTAAGGATTTACCGGTAGCTTATGCAAGTAGGATACTGAACAAGGCGGAAATTAACTACAGTACAACCGAAAAGGAGCTCTGAGTTATTGTATGGGCAACACAGCATTTCAGACTCTATTTATACGGGACAAAATTCGAAATAGTGACCGATCATAAACCGCTAACATGGTTGTTCAGTGTTAAGGACCCCGGGTCTAGGTTATTTAGATGGAGGTTAAAATTGGAAGAATATGACTACAGAATTCGTTACAAAGAGGGAAAAAATAACCAAAACGCGGATGCTCTTAGTAGAATGTATTTAGTCAAGCGCGGAAGAGGGAGGCTGCGAAAGCTGATAGATCAGCCGGAGGTAGATCAGCTGGAGGTAGATCAACATGTCGCAAAAACAGCAGACGAAGCTTGTGACGACAGTGACGTAGAGGTCGGCGAACCGCTCGCATAAACAGACTTTGACCACTTAGCAATGACAACAAATAACACTCTCACGGAGGACGAAAAAAAACGTATACTATACGAATACTACGACGCCCCGTTAGGTGGTCAGTTAGGAGTAAAACGAACCTTGAAACGGTTATTTCTGAAGCATTCATGGCCAGGAATGAAGAAAGATGTAGAAGAATATATCTCAAAGTGCGTAAAATGCCAAAAAAATAAATTATGTAAGTCCTCTGAAGCACCAATGGTTATTACAGATACGCCTTCAGAACCGTTTGAAAAATGCGCTTTGGGTATAATAGGTCCCCTCCCAGAGACGAACAATCCAAATAAACACATATTAACCTTTCAAGATGCGTTGACAAAATTCAGTAAAACCTTGTCAAATCCGGATCAAGAGGCAAGCACGGTAGCAAAACTTTTCGTAACCAAAATAGTCTACGAACACGGAATTCCGAAAATACTACTTACTGACCAAGGAACAAATTTCCTTAGTCAAATCTTTAAGGACACGTGTAAATTGCTAAAAATAAATAAAATTCAAACGACAGCCTATCACCCGCAATCAAACGGAGCTCTCGAGAGGAGCCATAGAACCTTGGCATGTTGTGCCCGGCAACGAGCATAAGGGTCATCGTACGACCATCGCCCGGCTAAAGAATGTCCGAATCAGCAGTACTTATCGATAGCGAAACTCTGCAAGCTAGCAGAGCACGCGCCGGGCAGCACGACCTTTTTTGGTCATTCACACGCAACGTGACACATTATAAAAGAGCGAACAATTGTAAAGACAGACAGATTGTAAGAAGCTCGTTTTGGTAATAAACCCTCGACTGTTACTCGAACACCGGTGAATTCAAATTCTTCAACCGCTCCAGAAACCGAAATCCCAAAAATCGCCTGAGGGCACAACAATTTACTATTTTCCATCATTTCTTTTCTATATATTTTCTTTTCATTATCTCATTACTAATCACTTCATTATTTTTTATTATTATTTATATGTAAGGGTGCAAAGGATGCGAGCTTAGATTTGGTAGGTGACATAGAGATGGGGAATTCAGGAAAAAGATGGAGACAGATATAGGTATATAGAGAGTAATAAAAGGAAATGAAAAACACATGTTAAAGAAACAATTTTGTAAGCAAGATTGGGGCACGCTCCTTGCAATAAAAAAGCGCCATGCAAGCCCGGAAGGGGAGCACTGAAGGTTTCTAACTAAGTGATATTGTTACTAAATGTGTCTTAGAATATATCTAATGCAGATATAGTAATAATGATATCGTTATTATATGTATAGTACATTATATCCAATGCAAATATAGTAACAATGACAATGTTATTAAATGAATATTACATATCTAATGTAGATATAGTAATAATGATATTGTCATTAAATGCATCGTAGATTATATCTAATGTAGATATAGTAAAAATGATATTGTTATTAAATGAATATTACATATCTAATGTAGATATAACCATAATTGTACTATTATTAAAAGTATATTACAATATATCTAATGTGGATATAGTAATAATGATTTTGTTATTAAATGTACATTGATCTGTGGGAAGGGAATAGTACATTACATTACACCAAGTGTAGAAATAGCAATAATGATATTGTTATCAAATGTACATTGATCTGTGGGAAGGAATCACTACATCACATTAGATCCAATGTTGATATAGTAATAATGATATTGTTATTAAATGTATATTACTTATTGTTGGGTGTGAACTACGTCACATCCGATGTTGGGTGTGAACTACATCATATCCGACAAGACAACAGATTGTTCAATCTAAATAGATCTATCGTTTCATAACTGTGAGTTGTTAATTCGGATCTCTTCCTAACATACGGAACCCAACAAATAAGAATATCTCTGTTACTATATCTACATTAGATATGTAATATACATTTTAATAACAATATCATTATTACTACATCTACATTGGATATGTAATAAACATTTTATAACCATATCATTATTACCATATCTACATTAGATATAATGTAATATACTGAGTCCTTCCCACTGATCAATGTACATTTAAAAACAATATCATTAGCACTATATCTACATTCGATATAATGTAATATACTGATTCATTCCCACAGATCATAATAACAATATCATATTTACTATATCTAGATTAGATATGTAATATATAGTTAATAACAATATCATTATTACCATACCTACGTTAGATATAATGTATATACTGATTCCCTCCCACAGATCAATGTACATTTAATAACAATATCATTGGTACTATATCTACATTGGATATAATGTAATATACTGATTCATTCCCACAGATCAATGTACATTTAATAACAGTATCATTATTACTATATCTACATTAGATATAATGTCATATAGTGATACACTCGAACAGATCATTATACCTACATTCAGGACCAATGTCATTACTACCATATCTACACTAGATATAATGTAATATACTGATTCGATCCCACAGATCAATGTACATATAATAACAATATCATTAGTACTATATCTACATTAAATACGTAACGCACATGTAATAACAATATCATTATTGCCATATGTACATTAGATATAATGTAAGATATTGATTCCTTCCCAGAGATCAATGTACATTTAGTAACAATATCATTAGTACTATATCTACATTCAATATAATGTAATATATTGATTCATTCCCACAGATCAATGTACATTTAATAACAATATCATTAGCACTATATCTACATTAGATATGTAATATACATTTACAAACAATGCCATTATTACCATATCCGCGTTGGACATAATGTAATTGTCTAGAGGGGGGCGAGGAGAACCGGGGGGGGGGGTCCGAACACACACAAAAATACCAAAGAAAATGCACGAGGTAGACCTTTAGTCGTGGTCAGGTTATTAAAACGGATTCTTGAGGTATCACAAATCGAGAATGGCCGTTACACCTATGCGAGGCGCTCGCGCGGTTCAAAATAATACAGTTATTTTTAACGTTTCGGCCTGTCACCCGAAGTTCACCTACACGTTCACAAGGTTCACAGAGGAGTCCCAAGAGAGCTAGAAATCCGATACACCCAGAGGAAGTCCGAATCGGTTGCGGGCGGTGACCGTTACCGCGTGGCGACCGCGAGGCGTTGTCGAGGTTACCGAACGACACCGGTTTTCTCCCGTAACGCATAAGGAGCGAGGGTTTCTGAGGTCACTCACGGCTCTCAAGGGATGAGAGGTGACGCGGGACTCCGAGGTTACCGGTTTAGACCTTAAAAACAGCTTAAACACAATGAAAAACTCGTAAATACGCACAGCTAGGTATTGACTTGATCGTTTACAAAAACGCAATATGGCTACGCGGCACGCGTCGCGCCTTGCCGAAAAGTAGTTCCCGAAAAAGAACGCGGGGCGGCAGCACCTCCCGGACGGGCCCCGCGCGACGAGGGGACCCTTTTTACTCGCGTTCACGCAACATTACCCGCCCGCCTTCGACGACCCCGTCGTCGACCCATGAGGAGAGGCGACCTGAGCGTCTCCGTGGGTTGGTAGTACCGCCAGCTTCGTGATGGGCCGCTGTAGAGTGGAAGTGGCCGTTTTGAGGGTGACCACCCGGGTGAGTCCGTCCTTCCCTGGGTGTAGTTGAAGAATCCTGGCGAGGGGCCACTTCGAGGGAGGTAGTCGCTCATCCGTGAGGAGCACCAAGGAGCCCACCTTGAGATCGTGTGAGGGGTGGTGCCACTTGGAGATGGTCTGGTAGTTGTGGAGGCATTCAGCTGCCCTGGGGGCCCAGAAATGCTGCACCTTCTGCTGGATGAGTTGCCAGCGGGATAGTCTGAGGTTTCTCTTCAATTGAGGCATCGGGATGAGGGGTTGATTGACCCGTTGGCCACTCCTGAGGAGGTGCCTTCAACCAGTCTGGTCCAGTCCACCACAGCGCGTGGTTCTTCAGCTGTGTCGGGGTTAGACCCCGAGATGCGCAGTCTGCTGGGTTGTCGCGTCCTGATATGAATTTCCAACGGGCACCCGGTACTGCGTCCTGAATTGCACCGACCCGATTCCGTACAAACTCCTTCCATCGAGAGGGGTGATGGCTGATCCAGGTCAGCGCGACAGCGGAGTCCATCCAGAGGTGCACCGGTGCCGAGGAAAGCTCGAGGGTATCCCGTACATATCTCGCAAGTTTAGCGAGGATGAGGGCGGCCGTCAACTCTAGCCGAGGGATGGTAAGCCTCTTGAGTGGCGCCACCTTGGTCTTGGCGCAGACGAGCGACAGGGTTGCCGGCGACGTGGAGGACGAAATACGGAGATACACAACGGCTGCCAATGCGTATTGTGAGGCGTCAGAGAAGCCGTGGATCTCGACTCTAGCCTTCGGGGTGAGGTTGAGCCAACGAGGGATGTGGAGATCCTCGAGGTCCTGTAGCTCCGTTCTGAAGGTTGCCCAGCGGAGAGCCGTGGAAGGGGGCAGTGGCTCGTCCCAGCCCAGCTGCTCAAGCCACAGCTCCTGGAGGAGAATCTTCGCCCGTATAGTGAGGGGTGCGAGGAAGCCGAGAGGATCGAACAGGCGTGCGACCTCCGAGAGTATAGTTCGTTTCGTCACGGCATCTCGAAAGGTCCGGGCGGCGGAGAACCAGAAGTGATCCGCTAGAGGTTGCCAAGATAAACCTAAGATCTTGGTGGTGAGGTCGGAGAAGTCCAACGTGGAGCGTGAGGAGGCGCCATCTCCGGAAATCGTCTTGAGGAGCTCTGGACAGTTACTGGTCCATTTTTGAAGAGGAAACCCGCTCGCCATGCAGAGCTGGGTCAGCTGTAACGCGACTGCCTCAGCTTCCTTTGCCGTGTCGCCTCCTCCGAGAATGTCGTCCACGTAACGTCCCTTGAGGAGCGGAGTCACTGCGAGGGGGTACCGGTGACCTTCGACGTGAACGAGCTGCAGCAGAGCCCGGGCCGCCAAGAATGAAGCGGACCGAGTACCGTAGGTGACCGTGATCAGCTGATAGCTGACCATCTTCCCTTGAGGGTCCGACCAAAGGATGCGTTGGAGGTCCCAATCAGCTGGATGTACTGCAACCTGCCGAAACATCTTCACGATATCCGTGGTAAACACATACCGGAACCGCCGGAATCGTAAGAGGACGTCCGAGATATCTAATTGCAATTTGGCACCTGTATGCATGAGGTCGTTGAGAGAAGTTCCCGAGGAAGTTGCGCTGGAACCGTTGAACACGACCCGCAGCTTCTGCTGCGAACCCTTGGAGGTTAAAACCCCGTAATGTGGGAGGTAGTAGACTGTGGAGGTGCCCAAGGAGGGCTCCGAGGCAGGTTGCATGTGCCCGAGGTCATCGTACTCCTGCAGGAACTCCTTGTAGAGGCGTCCGAATGCTTGGTTAACCGTACAGCGCCGTTGAATCCGTCGAAGGCCTCGAAGAGCCGTCTCGTACGAGTCGCCGAGATGAGTTCGAGGTCCCAGGAGAGGAAGTCGCACCACGTAGCGGCCCGAGGAGTCCCGAGAGTGGGTGCGAGCGAAGTGTGCCTCACACTCTTGCTCTTCCGGGGTAAGCACCTGCGAGGGTTTTGAAGGGACCTCTTCTTGAATCCAAAATTTGGTGAGGAGCTCGTGGAGCTCATGATCAGCTGCTCCGTGGAGAGCTACCTTCTCTCCGCGCGGTGAACCGGTGACGAGGGGTCCGAGGACTACCCATCCGAAGATGGTGGCGAGGGCGATCGGCGAATTCTGGTCAGCCTTGACCATTTCCGGCAAGAGGAGTTGGCCGAACACGTCGGCTCCCAAGATGAGGTCGATGGGGCCGGAGACGAGAAAGTCCGGATCAGAAAGTTGCAATCCTGAAAGATGAGGTAACCGAGTTGAAGTAGCCCGTACAGAAGGAAGCGTTGCCGTGACCCGAGGAAGAACGTGAGCTTCGACTGGCAGAGAGTTGTCCGAATGCAGCGCCCGTAGGTTGATGGATACCACTCCTCGCGTCCGGCCGGAACTCCTCCCTCCGATGCCCAGGAGGGGCAACTGCGGCGGTCTCTTACGTAATTGAAGAAGAGAAACTAACCTTTCTGAGATGAATGAAAGTTCCGAACCGGAGTCCAGGAGCATCCTAACCGGATGCGTCCGTCCTTGAGGTGCGACGAGGAGAGCCCTGGAGGTGGCGAGGAGAACCGATGAGCGGAGGAGAGCCGATTGAGGGAGCTCCGCCTGGAGGAGTCACTCCGATTGCGGGAGCGAGGCCGTGTCTGGATGCGTGCCGGGTTGGTCCGGTGGTGCACCCGCCTCTTCCAATGAGGAGTCCCTGCCTGAGGTGTCCGCTGAGGGGTGAGGAACGGCTACGTGATGAGCCGTCGCCCGAGGAGCTGCAGGAACGGGTGTTCCTGAGGGGATGCCGGGCCACCCACTGTCCTTGGGGCGGTCGTCCATCGGGTGCGCCGGGAAGTGAATGAGGGTGTGGTGTTTGTTGCCACACGTGCGGCACCGTCGTTCGCTGCGGCAGTTAAGGGCACTGTGTCGGCCGAGGCAGTTGTAGCACAAGCGGTGCTGTACTGCGATCCGGCGGCGCTCAATGATAGGAAGCGCGAGGAACTCCGCGCACTCGGTTATATAGTGTTTCTTCCCACACATGTCGCAGAGCCCGTCCTTGTAATTCGGCGGAAGCTCTGCGGCGTGATATGCCCGTCCGGCAGAGGCTGGAGGTGGTCGCGCGGTCACTCGCGGAGCACTGGGTGGGGGCCGAGAACTGACCGAGGGGCGTCCGGAGGTAGCCGGTGGTCTCGAACTCGAAACTTCTTCGCGGGAGAGCTCGAGGGTCTCTCGGGCTCTGGCCCGCCCGGTGAGGAAGGCTTGGAGGTCTTTCCAGGTAGGGTGCTCCTCCTTCTGCCCGAGGTGATTCTCCCAGGCCTCGCGCGTGAGGGGATCCAAGCGGCGCACCAGCAGGTGTACCAAAATGACATCCCAGTGTTCAACCGGGACGTGGAGGCCCTTCAGCGCATCAAGGGCTTCCTTGGCCTCAGAGAGGAGACCGTTGACGGCCTGCGAGGACTTGGGAGGCAGCGGTGTCCCGTTAACGAGGCGTTCAACCTGGGCGGAGATCAGGAGGCGTCGATTTTCGTACCTGCGAGTGAGGGTGTCCCAAGCGGCAGCGAAGGCGTCCCCGCTCACTGGGATGCTTGAAATGAAACGTGAGGCTTCCCCCGTGAGGCTGGCCTTCAGATAGAACATCTTCTCCACCGGTTCGAGGTCGGAACAGTCGCCCACTAGCGTTGAAAAGAGGTCCGCAAATGGACGCCACTCCGTGTAGCTCCCAGCGAATGAGGGGAGCTGTATTTTGGGGAGGGATCTACGCACCCCTCCCGAGGCGGTCATGAGGGAGCTCCGGGCGAGGCGATCCGCAGGGCGAGGGGAGGCATCTTCCTCCTTTTGCCGTTGCCTTTGTTTCAGGGACGTGAGTCTCGACTTCGCTGACGAGTACACTTCGAGGATCCGCAGGTAACTATCCGTCGTGAAGTAAGCATGGTCCGTGAGGCCTTCCACCTTGGCCTCGCATAATTTCTCGTGCAGAGCCTCGAACTTGGAGAGGTGACCGTCGAGGAACTCCTCCCGTTCCGTGAGGGCATCGAGGCAGTATTCGTCGAAGTCGCCGTTCTTCGCCTGCTCGGACAACAGCGTAATAACCTTGAGGCGCGACGCCTGCAAGCCGAATTTGCCTTCCAGATTTGAGGTGGCCATTTTGTTCACTGCCGACACGAGGGGCTCACTCACACACAAACTTTTCTCCCCGAATCCGACTCGAAGGACCAGAATGTCTAGAGGGGGGCGAGGAGAACCGGGGGGGGGGGGGGAGGGGGGTCCGAACACACACAAAAATACCAAAGAAAATGCACGAGGTAGTCCTTTAGTCGTGGTCAGTTTATTAAAACGGATTCTTGAGGTATCACAAATCGAGAATGGCCGTTACACCTATGCGAGGCGCTCGCGCGGTTCAAAATAATACAGTTATTTTTAACGTTTCGGCCTGTCACTCGAGGTTCACCTACACGTTCACAAGGTTCACAGAGGAGTCCCAAGAGAGCTAGAAATCCGATACACCCAGAGGAAGTCCGAATCGGTTGCGGGCGGTGACCGTTACCGCGTGGCGACCGCGAGGCGTTATCGAGGTTACCGAACGACACCGGTTTTCTCCCGTAACGCATAAGGAGCGAGGGTTTCTGAGGTCACTCACGGCTCTCAAGGGATGAGAGGTGACGCGGGACTCTGAGGTTACCGGTTTAGACCTTAAAAACAGCTTAAACACAATGAAAAACTCGTAAATACGCACAGCTAGGTATTGACTTGATCGTTTACAAAAACGCAATATGGCTACGCGGCACGCGTCGCGCCTTGTCGAAAAGTAGTTCCCGAAAAAGAACGCGGGGCGGCAGCACCTCCCGGACGGGCCCCGTGCGACGAGGGGACCCTTTTTACTCGCGTTCACGCAACAGTAATATACTGATTCCTTCCCCCGGATCAATGTACATTTAATACCAATGTCATGTAACCGTATATGTTACATATAGATATATATACATATATATTCAGCTCATTAGGGGCATGCCCCTTAAACGAAGACGATTCCCACTCGCTCGAGATGCGTGCGCATCGATCCCCACGGGGTATCGATCCCTACCTAGGATCGATCGAAGGAGATCGATGCGGGATCGATGATCCGACACTCTACGTTCGAAAGCGCTAGCGTTAAGACGCAAAATACGAGGGTCCGTTGGGCGAAAAACGGTACGCGAAGGCGAGTCAAACCGACTTGGTAAAATCGTCAAACTGCCGATTTACTGTCTTCGTGTATGCGCCTCAAACCGAGGAGTCGCGTGCACAAACTGAGCCGCGGCACTGCTACAAGGGATACCCGTTCGCGAATAACCAAGGTTTCGTCGTAGTAGTCAGTTTAATGAATTTATAACATCCAAATTCTGTTACACTAAATCGGTTCACATCAACACCAGTGAAATACAGATTCCGTGAAGCAGTGCCGCGACTGAGTTTGTGACTCCTGGGTTTGTGGCACATGTGACTCGTGCATCGCGTTTTATATATTCAAGACAATTATTTCAAAGATTCAGGTAACAAATAGTATCAACATCAAGGTCACTGTTACTTCGAGACAGAGAAATCGTCGATGTCACATAATCGTGCCCTGCCGAAACCTCTTAGTGCCAAGATAGACAAATAACATAGTCTCGCCCAACGTAACAAATTACACCATTAGTTGCGTTAAATTGATAATTTCGGTTCTTGTCAGTCAAATTTCACAGACATCCAATAGCAACCGCCGACAGTGCATGCCTACCCAATACTGGTGGCAAGTGTGCAATTGTCGTTCCCGCAAATATTCCATCTATTGTGTGTGAGGAAGCACGGTACTGAACGAACCACAGAATCTGGAAAAGTCCAAGAGACCACGGAAGTGCCTCTGGACATTTCCTAGACATCACGGAACGCAAAGACTTTGTGTACATCAGCGACGTGCGACTCTAACCCGCAAGGGCAAGGTCTCTCGTCGTTCTGATAATCTCACATATATATATCAATTGCTCTAATGCTATTCTTTCTCACAAGAACCGAGATTATTTCAATAGGTCGTTCAGCCCAGCATTGTCCTACGAGCCAGGAGTGGCGTCCGCGTTTTGCTTTAAAGTTATTCGGTACAAATTGTTAGACATATACACACAAGCCAGGAGTGGCGTTCGCGTTTTTTAAAGTTATTCGGTACAAATCGTTATACATATACACACAAGCCAGGGGTGGCGTTCGCGGTTTCTAAATTAAAGAATATTAATTACAGTCGTAAAGGTTCCCTACTGCATGACTCTTCAGAAAATACATAAGCAGATTTTTACCAGATATCTATCGCTGTTTCTTGTCAGACAACCTAAAAATTCCCCGTTACCAGACGAATAAAAAAATATAGTCAAAGAATTGTTACAGTCATTAGTACTATATCTACATGCGATATAATGTAATATACTTATTCGTTCCCACAGATCAATGTACATTTAATAACAATATCATTGGTACTATATCTACATTCGATATAACGTAATATACTGATTCATTCCCACAGATCAATGTTCATTTAATAACAATATCATTAGAACTATATCTACATTAGATATGTAATATACATTTAAAAACAATATCATTATTACCATATCTACATTAAATATAATGTAATATAATGGTTTCTTCCCACAGATCAATGAACATTTAGTAACAATATCATTGGTACTATATCTACATTCGATATAAAGTAATATACTGATTCATTCCCTCAGATCAATGTACATTTAATAACAAGATCAATAGTACTATATCTACATTAGATATGTAATGTACATTTAAAAACAATATCATTATTACCATATCTACATTAGATATAATGTAATATACTGATTTCTTCCCACAGATCAATGAACATTTAGTTACAATATCATTGGTACCATATCTACATTCGATATAATGTAATATACAGATCCATCCCCACAGATCAATGTATATTTACTAACAATATCATTAGTACCATATCTACATTAGATATGTAATGTACATTTAAAAACAATATCATTATTACCATATCTACGTTAGATATAATGTAATATACTGATGTCTTCCCACAGATCAATGAACATTTAGTAATAATATCATTGGTACTATATCTACATTCGATATAATGTATTATACTGATTCATTCTTTCAGATCAATGTACATTTAATAACAATATCAATAGTACTATATCTACATTAGATATGTAATGTACATTTAAAAACAATATCACTATTATCATATCTACATTAGATATAATGTCATATGCAGATTCATTCCCACAGCTCAATGTACATTTAATAACAATATCATTAGTACTATATCTACATTCGAATTATGTAATATACCGATTCATTCCCACAGATCAATGTACATTAAATAACAATATCATTAGTACTATATCTACATTAGTTATGTAATGTATATTTAATAACAATATCATTATTACCATATCTACATTCGATATAATGTAATATACTGATTCATTCCCACAGATCAATGTACATTTAATAACCATATCATTAGTACTATATCTACATTCGTTATAATGTAATATACTGATTCATTCCCACAGATCAATGTACCTTTAATAACAATATCATTAGCACTATATATACATTCGATATGATGTGATATACTGATTCCTTTCCACAGATCAATGTACATTTAATATCAATATCATTGGTACTATATCTACATTAGATATAATGTCATATAGTGATACATTCCCACATATCAATGTACATTCAATAACAATATCATTAGTACTATATCTACATTACATATGTAATGTACATTTAATAACAACATCATTAGTAAAATAGTACATTATATCTGATGTAGATATGGTAATAATGATATTGATATTAATTGTACATTACATATCTAATGTAGATATAGTAATAATGATATTGTTATTAAACGTATGTTGATCTGTGGGCATGAATCAGTATATAACATTATATCGAATGTGGATATAGTACCAATGATGTTGTTATTAAATGTACATTGATCTGTGGGTGGTAATCAGTATATTATATTATATCTAATTTAGATATGGTAAAAATGACATTGGTATTAAATGTAGGTACATTGATCTGTTGGAATGTATCTGTATATAACATTATACCTAATGTAGATATAGTGCTAATGCTATTGTTATTAAATGTACATTGATCTGTGGGAATGATTCAATATATTACATTATATCGATTGTAGATATAGTGGTAATGATATTGTTATTAATGGTGCATTGATCTGCGGGAATCCATCAGTATATTACATTATATCGAATGTAGATATAGTACCCATGATATGGTTATTAAATGTACATTGATCGGTGGGAAGGAATCAGTATATTACATTATATCTAATCTAGATATGGTAATAATGGTATTGTTTTTAAATGTACATTAGATATCTAATGCAGATATAGTAATAATGATATTGTTATTAAATGTACATTGATCTGTGGACACGACTCAATATATTACATTATAGAGGATGTAGATATAGTGCTAATGACATTGTTACAAAATATAGGTACATTGATCTGTTGGAATGTATCTGGATATGACATTATATCTAATGTAGATATAGTAATAATGATATTCTTATTAAATGTATATTGATCTGTGGGACTGAATCTGTATATGACATTATATCTAATGTAGATGTAGTAATAATGATATTGTTATTAAACGTACATTGATCTGTGGGAATGGATCAGTATATTACATTATATCTAATGTTGATATGGTAATAATGATAATGTTTTTAAATGTACATTACATATCTAATGCAGATATGGTACTAATGATATTATTATTAAATGTACATTCATCTGTGGGAACGAATAAGTATATTACATTATATCGAATGTAGATATGGTACTAATGATATTGTTATTAAATGTACATTGATCTGTGGGAATGCATCTGTATATGACATTATATCTAATGTAGATATAGTATTATAATAATGATATTGTTATTAAATGTACATTACGTATCTAATGTAGATATAGTACTTATGATATTGTTATTAAATGTACGTTGATCTGTGGGAATGAATCTGTATATGACACTATATTTAATGTCGATATAGTAATAATGATATTGTTCTTAAATGTACA